CTTCCAGTGCCTGAAGGGGCTCCAGGAAAGCTGGGGAGGGACTTGGGACAAGGGCAGGGAGGGAGAGGACAAGGGGGGATGGATGAAAACTGGCAGAGGGAGATTGAGGTGAGACATGAGGAGGAAATTGTTTGGTGTGAGGGTGGTGAGAGCCTGGCCCAGGTTGCCCAGGGAAGCTGTGGCTGCCCCATCCCTGGCAGTGTTGAAGGGCAGGTTGGATGGGGCTTGGAGCAGCCTGGGCTGGTGGGAGGTGTCCCTGCCCATGCAGGGGTTGGCACTGGATGATCTTTAAGGTCCCTTCCAACCCAAACCATTCCATGCTTCTAACTTTTGTGGTTGTTCAGGGATTTGCTCAAGTTGTTTTCCCCTTCTCTCTGAGGCTTATAGAGCTGGTGAGTTTTTCCAGAGCTGCCCTGCAGGTTATGAAGTGTCCCCTTCCCTGCCAGTCAACATCTTGCAGCCCTTTCCACTGACTGACCTGCACCCTCCAAGCCTTTCCCCTCTGCCCTCCCAGCAGGGCTGCACAGTTTGGGTGGTTAGGAGCTGTTTTCTGACATCCAGCCTTTCTGAACATCCTCTCCCCAGCTCCCTGCTGCTCTCTGAAGCTTCTGTGTCTCTCCTGCCTCCATGGCAACACTTTCAGGCTGTCATCAGAGAGTTGCTTCCTTCTCATTTTGCTCAGCTAACCATGACAAGGTTTTTTGGAGTGTCTGGTTTCTTTTTGCCTGGTCATTCTTTCTCTGCTTTCACTCTGGTCTCTTTCCTGAAGATGAATGATGAGCATCAAACCCATCACTTCAGGCAGATCCTCTGAGAGATTTCTATTAAAATCATCTGTAGGGGAGTAAATCTTCTGGTTTCTAATTGGATTTTATTAACATTCCTGTGGCTGGGATGGGCAGGATGCAAAGAATTGAGGCGTTTCCCAAACAATGAGCTTCCAAAAAATCCTCTCGAGTTCTTAAGGTGCATTCAAGTCATTTCTTTAATCAAACCTGCACTGCAGGCAGTGAGGAGAGGAGCCAAAATCTTCCCAGGCTTTATCCTTTTCACACACTGAGGCAGAGTCCTGGCTTTTCTAAATATGATAGAACTGGGAGGAAGCAAAAATCCTCCCCCAAACAGAGATGAAGGTGAGTGCTGCAGCCACCAGGGCTTGTAGGGCTTTGCTGGGGGGATATTTTCTCCTGAACTTGGCTGCCCTAAGTTGTCTGGAGCCTCCCTGTCCATCCCTCTGCAGCTCAGTCCCCTCTCCCAGCAGGGTGATGTGCAGGGCACATGAGAGATCCTTCCATGGGAACCCACAGGGAAGTGGGGAACTTACCCTGAAGCATGAATGAGATGTTTTGATGAAATGCTGATACCTCACAATGCTGCTTTAGATAGAAGGAGCTGTGGGAATGCAGAGCATTGTTCCCTCTTCCAGGTCATGGTGTCTGTGTCCCTGTAGCAGCTGAACTTCTCACTACAGAGGCAGGACTTGAGTGACACCCAAGTCAACAGGATTGGGGTTAGAGGTACCATTTGCTGCAGACACACACACACTAAAAAAAGAGATTATTTCAGGACAAAAAAACTGCCAATACTCTTTCTTAAGCATTATGCAATCTATTTAATACTTATTATTTTACCTACTTCTGCTTTGGAGGCTTGTACAGGAGCTGAAGCTTAATTAGGGTTTTTTTTTTCCCCTCCTCTATTGGCATGAATGTCCTCAATGCTTAAATTCATTTTTTCTGGTGTAGTGAACTTTTATCTTGTGCTGCCCCAGCCAATGAAGCATCACAGGTTAAAACTCAAAAGTCATTTTTGCTGCAGTTAAATAACAGGCACTGCAGAAAGAGAAAACAGCCCCTTTTTGATAATCCTGTTTTCCATGCAAGTCCAAACTGGGCAGGAGATTGTGTTAGATGAGAACAAACTGGGAGGAGCTCTCAGGCTGGCTGATCTCTCTTGTCTTCTTTGGGAAAACAACAACAAAAAATCAGATTAATGGGTATAATCAGATGAAGGGAACATCTCTGGGGGGCATCAGAACTTTGATGCCAAAGAACTGTGTGGAAAATCAAGGGTGAGGACCTGACATTGCTCTGTCATTGAATGGGGTGGGAGCAAATCATGGTTTGCAGAGGAGTCCCAAGAGCTGGCAAGAGGAACATGGGGTTCCAGAAGACTTGAGGGAGCTGGGAAGTGGCTCTGAGAACCCAGCTTTAGGCAGATGTTTCTTGGGGTGCCAGTGACTTGCAGAGTCCTTTGGGACGTTGGCTCATGTGGGAAGAAAAGGAGTGAGGGGCCTCTTTGGACAAGGGGTTGGATGCAGTTAAACCTCCCTGAAGCCAGCTCTGTTGTCAGCCTGGTGTGTTCTGCTCAGAGGGATGATGCTGAAGGGCAAGAAGAAGGTGCAGAGCCCAGGGGTGGCTGCAGTTTGGAAAGACAAGAATGACCAGAAGGAGATACATGGAGAAAAGGAGGGAGAACGTGGTGAAACCAGTGAGAAAGGGGTTAGAAGGGAAGGTGGTGGAGCAATATCAGGGCCTAAATGCTTCATTTCCATCACCCCCAGCAAACTGAGAGCAGTGTGGATTCCTAAGAGGAAGCAGCTAAGTGTGACTAGAAGGAAGAAGGGGGAGAAGGTCAAGATCTAGAGGGGGAAGGGGAATTGTGGACACTGCTGGGATCCATCTGCTGTTTCTTTGGTGCCAGTTGTGTCTTTCAACAAATACCTCTTGTCAACAGAACCTGATACTGAAGTCCTGCTTGCCCTGGGCTGTGCTGGCTTCCAACAGGAAGCACCTCTAAAAATGCCCAGTTTGTTTTTCTTGCTGCACTTCCTACCCTGATTGACTTTGAAATCTTGGGGTCACCAAGGGAACATTTACAAGGGGCTTCAAGACCAAACATGAATTGGAAGTATTATGAGATATGATGAGCCCTGAAACTGGTGCCACCCCAGGTGACTCCAGCTGCTGGTTGGTTCCCAGTTGACACCAGGGCATGGGATCTATAGAGGTGCCTGGTCAGGAGCAGGTGACTCCAGCTGCTGGTTGGATCCCAGTTGGGATCTATAGAGGTGCCTGGTCAGGAGCAGGTGACTCCAGCTGCTGGTTGGATCCCAGTTGACACCACAGCATGGGATCTATGGAGGTGCCTGGTCAGGAGCAGGTGGCTCCAGCTGCTGGTTGGATCCCAGTTGACACCACAGCATGGGATCTATGGAGGTGCCTGGTCAGGAGCAGGTGGCTCCAGCTGCTGGTTGGTTCCCAGTTGAGACCAGAGCATGGGATCTATGGAGGTGTCTGGTCAGGAGCAGGTGGCTCCAGCTGCTGGTTGGTTCCCATTGGGATCTATAGGGGTGCCTGGTCAGGAGCAGGTGACTCCAGCTACTGGTTGGTTCCCAGTTGACACCAGAGCATGGGATCCATGCAGGTGTCTGGTCAGCTGCTCCTCTCTGGGGAGCCTGCTGGAAAGTTCTGTGCACGTGTGTGTGTGAACTTTCTGGGGCTTCATCTGCATCAGAAAGTGGTGGTGGGTGCCTGGGAGCTTTTTTTCAGAGCTCTAGAGCCTGTGTCATGGGGTGTGAGACCAGGAACAGCAGATGCCCTGAACATGCCCCTCCTACTCCGGGATTAGAGATGCTCAGGGAGAAGTGGGACACACCTCCCTGACTCCCTGCCAGAGGCAGCAGCAGCTCCTGCAGGTTCAAGGGGCCTCGGCTCTTGGGTCAAATCAAACCCTTGCAGCTCCATTTCCAGCACCCATCCCCTTCTTTTGGTTAAGCAGGGAGGAGGAGGAGGAGGATGGCCTCTGCTGAGGAGGACAGGTAAGGTGCTGTGAAGCAGGGGATGCCCAGACATCCAGGCTGGAAGGGGCTAAGGAAACGGCATCTCTTTTCCTCACCTTCTTTTTCCTCTTCTTCCTTCTTGGGCTCTCAATAAACACCAGGCAAGGGCTGCTCTGGAGTCAACATCTTGCTGTTGAGGAGGAACCTGATCCCCTGCCTGGGTCAGGTGCTGGTTTTAAGACAAAAAAAACCACCCATGACCTTGGGAGAGGTGATGGGGCCAGAAGAGGCAACTCTCATGGTGGTGGAGGGGCTGACCTTGCAAAAAAACATAGGGCCCCTCTGAATGGAAATGCTTCAGCTGCTGGTTGGGCTGGGGCTGCTTTGTCCCTGCCTTTGTTTCCAACCAACCTGGGAGGACAGTCAGGGTGGGGTGGGTGGGTTGGTTTTGTTTTCCTGCCATAAAGGATCTGCCGTGGGTGGCAGAGCTGGGTTTTGCAACAGATGCATTTCTGCAGGGAGGAGGGGGGGAAAGGGGATTGTGTTTTCAGCTGAGCCTGGGGTTTAATCCAAAGGGAGGTCACTGAGCACTATTATTAGGTGGGTATTGTTGGAGATGGAGTAGCTAGAGGGGGCTTTGTGCTCCATCTATTCATTCAGGCTGGCAAAAAAAAGCTGGCACAGACCTCAGGCTCAGTCATTCCCAGGCTAAACAGTTGTGTTTGGTGACCCAGGGGTCAAACTTTCCCCGCCCCTTCCCCTGCACACACACACACACACACACTCTCCTGCTGAGCAAATCTCTCCTGCCTATTCAGAAATGATCCCCTTTGATGTTGTGCAGCCAGAAGAGTTGTGCAAACTGAAGCCTGCAGGCTGGATTTTGGGCATGGCTGTGCTCTCAGCTCTGGGAGCAACTCTGATCCCCTGCACACCTGAAGTGGGATGGAGAAGTGGGATGGAGAAGGCTCCTCAAAGCCCCTTCACTCCTGCCTGCACCTCCTTTCAGGCCAGGAGGGTGACACAGCACTGGAGTTTTGCTCCTTTTGGATAAGGAATATTTTAATGTCTTTTGTTTAGAAGGAAAAGAAGAAAATCCCTCCAGCTCAGCCCAGCTCAGTCCATCCCAATGTCTTCAGCAGGTTCATTCCTAACATTTCTGGGGATGCAGGAATGAATTTGGAAGTGTTATTTTGCAAAGCTTGTAAGCACCTTGTAACAGATTAAAAAAAGAGTGGAAAGGGGATTAGTGGTCAAGGAGAAGAGCAGGTTCTGGTGACTTCATTCTTTCCTCCTGTCTGCTGCAGGGACATCAAAAAGCTTGGGGATTGCATGTAAATGCTCTTGGTTCCCTCTAATTTCTAAACAAGGTTGTTCTACAGAGACACTGGGAGGGGCATCACTCATTAATGTATGTAAAACACTTTCCAAGTGTGGGAGCAAGGGATCATTTAGTCAAGTGGAGGCCTCATGAATGTTGCTTTTGTGGTTTTGGCTCCTTTCAGGAGCTCCTGGTACACTTGGAAAATTCAATGTGTTCTGGTAAATGAGCTTTTGCATTTCCAGGCTCTTCCTTTGCAGGGCATTTTAGCCAAGTGGGACCCTTGGTTTTGTGCCCAGGGAAGTTGTTTTTCTCCTGTTGGATGGTTGGTTTATGACATCCTGGGGGGTTCTTGACATCAGTTTGTGACTAGGAAGATGTGCAGTGTCTGATAGATCAAACTGGAGTTAGAGCAGGAGCTGGACAGCTGGGAGGTGACAGAGCTGAGAAGGTAAAATCCCAACAGAGGGGAGATTGAGGTGAGACATGAGGAGGGAATTGTTTGGTGTGAGGGTGGTGAGAGCCTGGCCCAGGTTGCCCAGGGAAGCTGTGGCTGCCCCATCCCTGGCAGTGTTGAAGGGCAGGTTGGATGGGGCTTGGAGCAACCTGGGCTGGTGGGAGGTGTCCCTGCCCATGCAGGGAGGTTGGGACTGGATGATCTTGAAGGTCCCTTCCAACCCAACCCAGTCTGGGATTGGATGTTTCTATGAAAAACTACCTGCCTTGTCAGTCTAAAGGAGGAAAAAGCAGTCAGGGACTGAGATCCTGCATTGGAGCAGCTGAAACTCCTGAACCACATGTGCAACTGACAGTCAGATCCTCTTCATCCATGGTCTGAGAGCCCCTGGAGTTGGCAGCCCAGCTTCTCTGCAGGCCCTCTGGGACTGCAGGCAGCAGAAGCACAACAGCCTGAAGCTTTGCACCTCTGGAAGCAAGAGGTTTGGGTTGCAAACACCCACCCCACACCTGCCTGAAGCAGACAGCAAGTGCTTAGCAAGGGCTCCAGTGAATGTGGCATCACCTTCAGCCTCGTGGTGTCATCCTCTCACCCCTCCAGAAGCAGGTCAGCTTTTCCTACAGGGAGAAACTGCCCCTCTCTGTGTTTGCTTCACTCTGTGGCCCAATCTTCTCCCACACAGTTGTTGTTCTCCTGAATGGTGACAATTGAGTCACTCTCCAGAAATGCTGTTGCTCCCCTTGCTTCTGAAGGAAGTTTCCAGTCAACCTCAGTGTTGCCTTTCAGAAGGCACCTGCCTTGTGCTGTTGGAGATGGGGTGGTGGGATTGCTCCATTTCTTGATTGCATTTCAAAACTGATTTATGCATCCCATGATTGCTGGACCTAAAAGCCTTCCTTTCCCTCCAGGGGCACAACAGGCAGGGTCATCCCACCTCCTAGACTGGATGAGATGTATTGTTTGCCAAGTGATTTGAGCAGTTCCCCCTCAAATCAGACACCAGGAGCCCAAAACTCCTGGTTTTAGTGTTTGGTGCAGGCTGATGTCTAGGGCTTGGCTGCAGGTGTGACCTGGGTGAGTGGAGTCTCCATGTGTAGCATCTGCTGGAAGCATCAGGGATGAAGAAGGTGTTTGGGATGTTCCAGTCCTAGAAGGAAGCACTAGGAGCTGATGGCTTCAGTGCTTCTTAAGAAAATTGGGTTCTCTGTTCATGTGTGGTCTACCTATTGCAGAGGACAATGTCTACTCCTTTGTCCCACCCCCCCCATGTCCTGGGACTTCCATCCTCTTGCCTTGAGCCCTCCCAGCCTGGACACCCCTGTGCACAAAGCACACAGGCTGGGGTTCCTCACGGGGCTTCTGCATCCCCCAAGGGGCTCAGGAGAGCCCAGCAGGAGTGGTCCATGCCTGGGGACACTTCTGTGTTGTAGGTATCTCCACTGCAGAATGGAATCAGTGAAGAAGATTCAAATGATTTGGGGCAAAAGATGAGATGAAAAGTGAAACAGCTGCCATCAGACTTCATCACAGGATCCTTCTGGTTGGAAAAGGCCTTTAAGATCATTGAGTCCAACCATTAACCCAACTGCACCAAGTCCAGAGCTCACCCATGTCCCTCAGCATCACATCTACAAGGCTTGGAAACCCAGGGATGGGGATGGAACCACCTCCCTGGGCAGCCTGGGCTGGGGTTTAGTGACCCTTTCAGGGAAGAAATTTCTTCTAATCTCCAACCTAAACCTCCCCTGGAGCAACTTGAGCCCATTTCCTCTTGTCCTATCCCTTGTTATTTGTTATCCTGCTGCTTTTCCTTCCTCTTCCCAGTTTCACCCACTAAACTGAGCAGGGCCAGGGCACAGCAGGAGAGCCAGGGATGAACCATTCACTGCCCACAGCTGTGGAACTTCTAGTATTGTCATTTTAGTGACATTTCTTTTTCTCTGCACCTTTTCAGGGCTTTGGAGCCTGTTCCTTGGGTGCCTCTGGAGCTTCACTGACCACTTCTTGTTGTTTGCAGACCCAGCTATGAGGTGTACAAGGAAACAGCAGATTGGTTACGTGCCAGGACCAGCCAGCACCCCAGGGTGGCCATCATCTGTGGCTCTGGGCTGGGGGGCTTGGCTGATGTGTTGGACAACAAGACAGTCTTCCCATATGAGGACATCCCTCACTTCCCACGGAGCACAGGTCAGCACAGGGCATCTCTGCTCCCTCAAAAAGAGGGGTTGGGGAGGTGGGGGTGGGTGTCTTCTCCTGAGGGACAAGAGGAAACGGCCTCAAGTTGCCACCAGGGGAGGTTTAGGTTGGGTCTTGGGGATGGTTTCTTCCCCCAAAAGGAAGAGTCCCCATCCCTGGAGGGGTTTCCAAGCCCTGGAGATGTGGAGCTGAGGGACACGGGGCAGTGGTGGCCTTGGCAGGGCTGGGGGAAGGGTTGGGCTTGGTGATCTTAAAGGTCTTAAAGGTTTAGGTTGGATCTTGGGGATGATTTCTTCCACCAGAGGGAAGAGTCTCCATCCCTGGAGGGGTTTCCAAGCCCTGGAGATGTGGTGCTGAGGGACATGGGGGGGTGGTGGCTCTGCCTGTGGTGGGGATAATGGTTGGGCTGAATGACCTTGAAGGTCTTTTCCAACCCAAACACCTCTGTGGTGCCATGATCAGCAGCCCAGCCTTGCAGGGGGGGAGCTCACCCTGCACCCCTTGGGTGACATTTGGGGTGAAATGTCTGTTCCCAGCAACAACCCCCCCACATCCCAGCCCCCCCATCATACCAGGCCCTTCTGGAAAGCACCAGCAAGTGGCAAAACCCCCCCCTGAAGCCCCAGCTCTGGGGCCAGGGGGTGACAGTGCCCGTTTGCAGTGGCAGGGCACGCGGGGAGGCTGGTGTTTGGGGAGCTGGGGGGCCAGCCCTGTGTCTGCATGCAGGGCCGCTGCCACGGCT